CAAACCAGGAAAGTCATCTAAGGTACAGATTGCTGTACACAATGGGACAGACCATGATATTCTGCTTAAGAGTCGCACCCCGTTAGGAGTCCTTCAGGCAGTCAAATCAGTGACAACAGCAGATGTTAGACTGAGTGAATGTAGAACCCAGAATGACCAGCAATATTTTGAGAAACCTAAACCTCAGGGACCCACCACCCCTGCTGAGCAGCAAAACAAAGAAAATGAAAACCCACTTCCGGCAGTTGATCTCGGTGATTTGGATCATGACCAGCGGACTGCAGCTGAAATGATGCTGAGGGAAGAGTACGAGTCATTCTCATCCAATGAAGAAGATATTGGCTGCATCCCTGATCTGGAAATGGAGATTAATCTGCATAATAACCAGCCAGTGCAAAAGAAGTACACGTCAATTCCTCGACCACTGTATCCGGAGGTGAAACAGTACATTGAAGACCTTCTGAACCAGAATTTCATCACTGAATCCAAGTCCCCATACTCCTCTCCAGTTGTCTGTGTTCGCAAGAAGGATGGGTCTCTAAGGCTATGCATTGACTATCGAGAACTAAATCGCAAGACTATTGCTGACAGACATCCCATTCCTAGAGTCCAAGAGACCTTGGATAGTCTTGGCGGAAATAAGTGGTTCAGTGTACTTGACCAGGGTAAGGCGTATCATCAGGGGTTCGTAAACAGGGACAGTAGAGCAGCGACAGCATTCATTACACCGTGGGGGCTATATGAATGGGTAAGGATCCCATTTGGATTGATGAACGCACCTGCGAATTTCCAACGGTTTATGGAACGTTGTTTGGGTGAACTAAGGGACAAAGTGGCTATACCGTACCTCGATGACATCATAGTATTTAGTAGGACATTTGCAGAACACATCGAGCATCTGAGAACAGTATTGCGAAAGTTACGAGCACATGGAGTCAAGTTGAAGCCGCGCAAGTGTAGTTTGTTCAAACGCGAGGTCAAGTTTTTAGGAAGAGTTGTGTCAGGTGATGGTTACCAGATGGATCCAGGGTGTGTACAAGCTATCGAGAAGTTAAAGGAAGTAACACCCAAAACTGTTGGTGAAGTAAGACAGCTTGCAGGAATACTAAGTTACTACCGAAGGTACATTAAAAACTTTGCTAAAATTGCGAAACCGATCTATGACTTGCTTACCAGCACAGGACAGGATGGACAACAGCCCTCAAAGACGCCAATCGTTTGGGGAAGAGAACAGCAACTAGCCCTCGAGAAGTTAGTGGGACACCTCAGTAATCCACCCATTATGGCTTATCCAGATTTCTCAAAAGCATTTACTCTCCACACCGACGCAAGTAAAGACGGTCTCGGGGCAGTGTTGTACCAAAACCAGGATGGGGTCATGCGAGTTATTGCTTATGCTTCACGAGCGCTGTCACCAGCTGAGAAAAAGTACCACCTTCACGCAGGAAAACTTGAGTTTCTTGCTCTAAAATGGGCAGTGACTGAACACTTCCGTGACTACCTTTACTACTCGCCAAAGTTTACTGTTTTCACTGATAACAACCCCTTGACATACATCCTAACATCAGCGAAACTGAACGCCACTGGTTTACGGTGGATTAATGAATTAGCCGACTTCCATTTTGAGATCAGGTATCGACCAGGAAAAGCCAACGCAGATGCTGACACCTTGTCTCGTATGCCAATCAGTTTTGAGGGCTATATGAAAAGTTGTTCGGAAGTAGTTAATCAGGATGTTCTGGATGCTGTCACATCTTCAGTCCATGTAACTAACACCCCCCAGACCGCCTGGTTGTCATCTCTCACCGCAGTACACGACATGTTAAAGGAAGAGCGTGTAGACATTCCAACTCTGCCACGTGATGAACTTGTCGCAGCTCAGCAAGAAGATCCATCAATTGCTCGTGTTTTACAGTTTATTCAAATTGGAAGGCGTCCCACCTATCAGGAAAGGCAGCAAGAGACAGCTATTGCCCGACAACTCTTACACGAATGGAATAAACTGTTTATTGCTGAAGATGGAATCCTTTATCGGAAAACTGGGTGTGGAGACAAAATGGTTTTACCCAAGAAATACCACAAAAGGGTGTATGAAGAGCTACACGAAAACATGGGGCACTTGGGTGCCGACAGAGTAGTGGAACTAGCTAGAGAACGCTTCTATTGGCCGTTTATGAGAGCAGACATCACCCATTATGTCACAAAAGTGTGTCGTTGCCTGAAGCAACGTAAACCCGCAACTCATGTCCACGCACCACTTCAGCCTATCCTCTCCACAGCACCTTTCCAACTCGTCTCCATGGACTATGTTCATCTCGAACCAAGCTCGGGTGGATACCAGTACATATTGGTAATCATGGATCACTACACCAGATTTGCCCAAGCATACGCCACCCGGGATAAGTCTGCGAAGACCGCTGCCAACAAACTGTATAATGACTTTATCATGAGATTTGGGTTTCCAGGAACCATTCATCATGACCAGGGCGGAGAGTTCGAAAACAAACTCTTCTACAACCTTGAGAAACTGAGTGGGATCAAACATTCGCGGACAACCCCCTACCATCCACAAGGGAATGGGCAGGTTGAAAGGTTCAACCGAACACTTCTATCAATGCTGAGAGCCCTGCCAGAGAAACAGAAATCCCGTTGGCGTGACCATCTCAATAAAGTAGTCCATGCATACAATTGCACTCGCCACGACTCTACTGGATTCTCACCTTTCTATCTACTATTCGGTAGGACGCCAAGGCTACCCATCGACCTAATGTTTGGCTTGAAACCTCCAGAGGGATATTCTACATACCCTGAGTATGTTAAAAATTGGCGAAGAGCCATGAAAGAAGCTTACGAACTAGCCTCCGCTCATGCAAAGAAAAGTGCAGACATGGGGAAACAACAGTATGACAAGAAAGTTAGACATACCACGCTACGTGAAGGAGACCGTGTTCTTGTGCGAAACATGACGGAGCGTGGTGGCCCAGGAAAGTTACGCTCTTATTGGGAGCAAGAAATCCACGTTGTTACTCAAAAGAGGGAGGATATGCCAGTTTACGAGGTAAAACCAGAGACTGGTAATGGAAGGACAAGAGTTCTGCATCGCAACCTGCTGCTACCATGTTCCTTTCTACCTGTTGAGATACCACCTAAGCCATCCAAGAGTCGTCGCACGATGCCCAGGACAACCCGAAGACAGCAGGAGCTACAAGAGAACACAACCAGAACCACTGATGAGAACATCCCTGGGTTAACACCTGGTCAACTTCAAGAATTTTACGAGTCTACGAGGAATCATACTGAAGACAATTGCCAAATTGTTCCAGAGTTAGATGAACACGACACTTACCCTTGTCAAGTTGATGGTCCAGGCTCAGAGGGAGAGGCTGAAGACACAGAGCAACCAAGTGGTGCGTTCGATGATGAAGCTGTAGATGGTGTACCTCTAAGACAGTCACAGCGCGTAAGCAGACCACCCCTCAGGATGACCTATGATGCAATGGGACAACCCTCCTTTCAACCCAGTTCCACAACAGGAATTCGCGGCATCACAGCATCATATCCACACCAGTTATGGCAGCCTGTCCCGGTATCATGGATGGTGCAACAACCTGTCTTTCAGCCCTTCAGTTATTTTGTACCTTTCCCAGTACACGTTCAGCCGATGTATCCTGTGCCTGCGTGGCGTTACCAGCAAGCCTGGTGGCATTAACTTGAAGAGAAAGGAACTGATTTGGACCAATTGAAATTACGTTCGTTTTAGATAAGACGGATAAATGTTTAGTATAGTATAACTCACATGTCGTTCGTTTTAAGAGGTACAACCTTGTTTTATTAGGAGATTTTTTTTTTCTCGATCTCTACATGTTCTTTGTACGGGCAAACCATCGATATAGGCGCGTAACATTTGGGCAACTTAAGCGAACATTCTGGCCTGATCAACCAGGATAACTTTGTTGACCCAATAATGAGATACAAGAATACGAGGAACTGTTACACGAGATAACCCACAAGAGACTATGGTCTATCCGTTCATGTTGAGGACAACATCTTTTTCCAGAGGGGGAGAATGTAGAGAACTGGAACTAGTTAGAATAATATCGAAAAGGACTGGCTCTAGCCAAGATGATGTAATCGCAAGATGGCGGAAAGCGCCACCGACACGTATTAAAAGAGTTAGAAGTTTGGAGTAATTTGTGGTTGATTTAGGCGTGTAATCTAACACAAGCAACTGTTAGGAAAGCCCTCAGAGACTATTTTGATTCCTGAACGACCGTTAGTCGCCGAAATGTGCGTAAGGAAGGAAATAAAACCAACTGGAAAAGATTTCTTCCAGTTACTTACCTTTTTTTGTTGAAAATAATCCCTTTTGGTAATTTGATGATAGGTCTCAGAATAGTTTTTTTTTTCGAAAACCTGAGCTAGGAACAAAATTATGAGATTTTTTTGTAGAATTCGGCTAAATTTCATTCAGTTGTATTTGACCCCAACCGTCGAAATTAATACGTCGACTCAAACTGTGAAGTAAATAAGGCTCATATGGAGTATGGCTCGTAGACTTATCTCTCTTCATTATCTAACCGAACCGCTTGAATTGTGAGTAATATTAATGTATACTGTTGTTTAAGTCTTTACTTTAGTTAGATAACAGATCAACGGCGAATATCAACTAAACAGCGTGCATGTTCAGGAATATAGTAACTATGGAAACTAGTCACCGAAGAGTAACCGTAACGCAAAGAAATTAACACATAGGATGTCTTTTTAATTGGTCTATGTGTTATGAGACCTTAGCCCTTTCCCTAACGCTCTAAGACTAGTATTATGTACTTTTATTGTAGCTTCGCTTAGTTTCCTACGATGGAATATTAATCGACATTTATAAATTGCATCGCTTGCCAACCAAAGAGGAATATGACGTAGTGATAACTTAAATTCCAACGTTAGTGATACTCTATGTTATTTTATTACCAGCAAAGAAGGCAGAAAGAGTCATTAGTGGCATGGATTTCATTTTTACACCTGGTGCAATTACTGGACTTGTGATTGGTTTTCTGCTCGCGGCCCTTATTTGCATGATCTTTATTTGGCGTCGCTGGAGAAAACAGAAGATTTTAAGGAAACAAGGTCTCATTCCAGGGTAAAAAAATACTTTGTCCTCGATGTAAATCAGAAAGATCTGTTTTGCTCTAAAAATGGGGAAAAGCTTTTTGATCGGGCTGGTTTGGCTTAAATTGTGCTCAAATGGCTCCAAGAGGGCCGAGCTGAATCAGACAGTGGCCTGTAGAGCTGAATTGACAATTTTGGGCGGAAGCAGATCTTTTTAATCTTCAATGTTTATAACCTAAATTAGACGCGAGGAAATGAGTCGGAGAAAATCGAAGGACAATAAAATTATGAAATTAAGATTGTTCAAAAGTAATACTGCATTGGCATAATGCGAAAGCTTCCGTTGAGCTATAGTTAATTGGTGACTGAGTTCTTATATAAAATATGAGCAAAACATTTTGTCACGTAAAACATACAGCTCAAGATTTAGTGATAGACCCCTTAGCTTCAGAATCATTGATTCATAATTTTTGTCTTGTATAATTATGCAACGATAAAAGTTGAATTAAAAGGCACACGTATGTTTATGGCATATGTTATGAAATTTAATCGAAAAATTAATTGAGACCTCTTTATAATATTTGTGGTCTCAATTAATTTTTTGAACCAACAACTGAATCAGTAAAACGGGTTGTTAACGCTTTCAGTGGTCACCAATTATGACCTTTATAACTTTTTTAACATTTCAGTACAACAACAAATTCTTACCTCCTTATTTTTTTACAGGAAAAACGGTGTGATAATTGATCACTGGGAGGTAGACGGAGACCTTGTTACGCTTGAGAATGAGATCGGAGAGGGAGCTTTTGGTAAAGTTTTCAAGGGAACTCTAGTCAAACCCACCAGCTCTTTACCCCAGAAGTTTTGTTTGAAGCCTTGGAGGAAAACTGCTAAAACTATCAATGGAAGTGAAACATACGTGGTTGCAGTAAAAATGCTTCATAGTGAGTACCTGTTGTTTCTGCTACTAAAAATAGATATCTTGTAACCTTCTTGAAAAGAATTGAATAGAAAAAATTCACTTTTATTCTAAAAATTACGTTTCCTAGGCTTTAAATGCGGCTTCAGCTCTGGTTGATGTAAAAGTCTCGCTGCTAAAACAGACCCGAACCAAGCCAAAGAAAGACATTTTATTATTATTATTGTTAATACTTAGTTTTCTTTTTGTTTTAGACATGCCAGATGAAAGTGTACGGCAAGACTTTCTGGACGAAATTCAGTTGATGAAGGCGGTGGGGTCCCACAAGAATATTGTCAGCATGGTCGGCTGCTGCACTCTCGAGGAACCTATGTTTTTGTTAGTTGAATATGCCCCATACGGTGATCTCCTACACTACCTCAGAAAACATAGGAAAACGGTATTTATCCCCTTAAATACTTACATGGATACTTTATTATACTCCGTCCCTAATCAGGGCATTTCAGAAGTACAGACAAACGCATTTTATAACTGTCTTAAAACCAGTTAAAATAGAAATGACATTAGAACTAAAATATTTACAAGCTAATCTCTATTATGCATATGAATTACACATGTATTATAAAGAATTATTGTAATGCTAATTATTAAGAAATTCTTCAAGCAGCTTTTTCGCAGCAGTGCACGCTTAAAAGTTTTATCGTCTTAGCAAACTTTGATCGAGCCTCTTAGGGCGGCATTCTAAAATGAACGTTTACCAGTATTTGTTTTAAGTAGCGGGATATCCAATAACTAGGAACTCCTGGTTTGGTGGCGTAGACATGCTGGATCGTTTTACAAAACTATCTGCTTTCCATTTAAAGTTTTAAAGTGGCTTTGCCTATATGCCAGGGAAAATCCGTGGTGAGGAGAGGGGAGGCGGTAATTCCTCTTTCCTAATTGACACATCCATGGCAGGTTCCTCAGTGTGAAAAACGTGGACGTTCCCATAGGAAACGGCAAATTGATATAAAAGGTTAATTCCACAATTTTTATCACCACCGTGTTTTATTATGGATATGATGGGATTACGGTCTTTGGGACCAAGAGAACTCAAGTTCTTACTACAAAAAATTATTCGATACCTTAAAAATTCCTTTGTTCTTCTCAAAACAGTGACATTCAAGCTTTCAAGGCTCTTATGAATAAGCTAGTCAATGCATTAAAAGAAACAGATCAGTGTTGCTTATAATTAATACGGCACCTTGTGTACAAAAATTTGGAGCGTATTACTTAAACTAAATAGTACATACACCATTTGCACATCTCCCATAATACACCTTGATTGCCCCTATTCTTCCCCCCCCCCCCCCCCCCCCCCCCCCCCCACAGCACCCCCCCTATCATACTAATAAAAAAAACTTTTCAAAAAAAAAATAAAAAAAAAAACTAAAATTTTAAAAAAAAAAATAAGAGAAAAAAAAGAAGATATAATAGAGAACAAGAAAAAGGACATAAAGGATAGAACTCCTTTTTATTATACATCTTTCATCCTTTTCATATAACATAAAAAAAGAGTCGTTTTGCTTATAAGTATATCCGACCCTGGTTTACAAAAATTTGGACCCTTTTATTTAAACTAAAAAGTACAATCACCCTCTCCCCCCCCCCCCTAAACCCCCTTGATGGCCCCTTTTCTGCCCCCCCCCCCCCGCCCCCGCCCAAAAAAGGGAATTTCTCTTATATGATTAATAATACAGCTGTCTCAAAAGGAATTGAAAACAATCAATTAATTTTTTGGCAAAATATTGGCGGGTAAACAAGGTGTATTATGGGAGACCCAATGAAGTGCAGAGTTGGTTCATATCCCTCTTTACTATACGTCTTCCAGGCCTTTCAAAAGTCAAACAAAGAGCTTGGATGTTCAATCACATTCACTACACCAGACGATCAGATAAACAGGATAAACACTGGCAGGGAAACCAATACAGTCTTGAAAACGGAAGATCAGGAAGAAAAAGAATACTACAACGAGGAGATTTTGACCCCTGGAAATCTAATGGCGTTTGCTTGGCATGTTTGTCAAGGCATGGTAAGCAAGCCACCAATCTTAAGCTACTTTTCTGAGAAAAACGTTCGTCCACTAGTGAAGAAAACTGGACCACCAAACTTCTTCTAGTTAGCACAACTGGCTTGGTTCCGGACCGCGGAGCTCTAGGCTTAAGTATGTTTCCCAACCGAAAGTGCTAGTTCATTGCTCTGACATCTGCAAATGATTGAAAACTTTTTTTCATTTGTGGTCTCTGATAAGCTCCTTAGTGCAGTATTACGATAAACCTAGGGCTCTTTTACGCGGTTGTTCCACTTAATTGTACTTTGCAGCACGTTTAAATCGCTAACATAAAATGTTTTTTCCACTGTGTAAGGAATACCTGGCGAGAAAGGGATACGTTCATCGCGATTTGGCGGCTAGAAATGTACTTATTGGAGAAAAGAAAATTGCAAAAGTGTCAGACTTTGGACTGAGTCGACAAGTGTATGAAAAGAAAGTTTACCATGGCAAACGAAACAGGAAACTTCCTTTCAAATGGATGTCAACAGAAGCCATCTTTGACCAGACATTCACTACGAAGAGCGATGTGTAAGATTACTGATAATTAGCGCATATTAACTAAATATAACGCTTTTCGAAAATACAGAAAAGACTACATATACTCTTTCAATGCAAAGTTCATATGAATCAAATATTTTAATAGAGCGAGCCTATGCCCTGCTTATAGAAGTTTTTTCGGCACGGGTTTTAGCTTTTACGAAGTATTTCACGTAGCTGGCTTGTTTACGACTCTGCCTATGTTAAAGGTCACACTGGAAAAAAAAACACTGACAGCAGTATAGTAGCAGTATTTTTACTTTTTTTGGTGAGGCTTTCTTTACTTTGCGATCAAATGCATTGACGCCGATGATATCACAGTATTTATAGTCTTGACCTCATCTATAAAATGCGGTGGAATCTCATTTAGATTATGTTATGCCATGCTGTAAAAAAAGGCACTTTATTTGAGTGTCAATGTATTTAGCACGAAAGTGCTAATTGGGGACACTATATTTTACGTCTCCTAATGGAGAGGGGACCGCCATTTTACGTGGTCATCCGAGCCACGCAAAGGTCCAGCCGCCTGCAGTGCAAAGGGAGTACCTTCATTTCTCGGTTATGTTAAGACCCTGAGTATTGGTCCGGCCCCAGGAATCGAACCCGCGACCTCCCGCTCTGCAGTCAAGCGCTCTACCGACTGAGCTAATCCTGCTGTTATAGCGCTTTTTAGACCCTGCTAGACAGGTTTTTTAGTTAATACATAATAGCTCAATTAATGTCTTGCTTTAGGATTGACTAAAAGCTAAGAAAATCATCCATAGGTAGAAGTGTAAATTCAAGGTGTGGATAGAATAATCCCTTACTCGTGACGTCATAACCCAAGCTCCAGCTACTCTCGTTATCCAGTGCAGACAGCTTATTGTCCTGCTTCCGTTATACGGTTTTCTGGCTGAATTAAAAAAAAAAACGTATTTAGAGCAGTACTGGTGCATTATGATAGTCCTGTGATATGAACTTAATCATAAACGATTTTGCAAGAAAAAAAGGCATGCATCGTCCATCCCAATTATTATAAGCACTATTTAAGGCATCAGCCAGTTCCTTTAACCAAAACATGCCTGCGGTAACAAACATGATGAAACAAAGCATGTAGCAAAAATCAAGAATTTAAAGACTTCACTTGACCTGAAGACCTGACGTCAAGCCTTTAAAATCCTAAAGTTTTCGTAACATGCTTTGTTTCATCTTGTTTGCTCTTGTTACCGCAGTTTGTGTTTTATTTTTAATTACTGAAGTTGAAATGGCCAAAAAATAAGAGTGTTAACAATATAAAACATACCTGTTTTTTAATTACAAATCTGACATTTTTTCTCGTATTTTTTCACAGATGGGCCTTTGGAGTTGTACTTTGGGAAATAGTTACTCTAGGTACGCTAACAGCTAAATCTATCTGTATAGAATTTTGAGTAACAGTGACTTTAAAAAATATATGCTATATGATATTGACGACTTGGTAGCCATTTACGCCTTTTTTATGCTGAATAAACGCAGACAACGTAGTGTTGGTCACTTAGCACATGATCATTTTTCGGTTAGGCATAAAAATCATTTAAACCATTTTTGGAGGAATTGTGTGACACTTCTCATAACTTCCTCAGTTTTGTGATATTGCCAAAAAAAAGATACGTAAGTAGCATTTGTGACAGTTCAAGTGAAAACTCTGAGATCTGGGGAAAATTGACTTTTTCAAAGTTTTTTAAAAAAAAATGGCCGTTCTGTGTTTATCGCCAAATTTTCGGTTTTCGCTGAAAAAATAGTGGCAAGCCCGTGAAATCGCGTGAAAGTAAATACATTTTCCTACTATAATAGTCGAGTTTCTGTGAAACCATAATAGTTTTTGAAGAGAGGAAGGGATATAATTTCAAGGAATGACAATGTACCTCGTTGTACCTCAACTCAAAAATCGACAAATCGAAATTGAACATGGCTGTTTTTAACCCTTTGGCAGACGACTGCGCGACTTTATCGAATACCCACCTGCGAAGCAAACATGAGTAAACGTACGTAGAGTGAAAATATCCATAAAACAGGCTTAAAGGATTATCCCTTTATATAACTAGAATAATCAGTAATTCATATTTTCAAAGGTACCTAAAAATTCATTTCTGCAGAGGTGATGCGTGTATATGTGAGTAGCATAAAATGGGTCAACTTGGTCTGACGATCGTGTTTTGAGCCATTAACATTAATGAGCAAACACAAAACAATAGACAAAGAAATTATTTCTTGAAAAATTTTATTGAAAAAAAAAAATCCATTAGTTGATCCTTAAAAGCAATCCGCGTAATACTTAACTAGAACATGGATCCGTTTACACAAGTGAAAATCGGCTGAGCACACGGCAAAATTCAACACAAAATCACGCCATCGCCAACCGGGCACATTTTGTAATTTTTCTTTCAGCACCGATACAGAAATGAATTTAACGTCTATGAAACATTGATAAGTACATAAATTTCCTTTTACAAACGTACTAATTTCCTTCACCATAGAGTAAAATTCTCCAAAACGTCGCTGCCTTGGTTGCATTTCAAAACAGGCCAAGCTCTCAGCCGTGAAGAAAATAAAGTAGAATTCCTCGAAAAACAATTCCATAATGAAAAGCTTTCCTTTGCCCTCAAAAAGAAAACTGGACTTTCTTTTGAATTTTCCCAACAACCTGTACAATGAATAGGAATCTCACGCCGTCTAATTTATCCAAAATTCGCCTGTTAGCCGGTAACACGGTATTCGCGGTGGGTCATCCATCCAGTTCCAAAGCCCGTCCCAACTTGAGTGCCCCTACAAAACCGAGTTTCGCGAGGGTCATTGCAAGATACGTATTTCTAGTTAAGTTTCTAATACGCGTGCATAATTACTTAGCAGCACATTGTGACTCTCTGACCTACGCCATATAAGCCTCTGGCTTTGGCATCGTATTATCGTTTACTTGTGCTTTGTGTACTTATTTATCAATAAAGGTTATTATTATTATTATTATTATTATTATTATTATTATTATTATTATTATTATTATTATTATTATTATTATTATTATGCTCATCACGAGACTCATTTGAAAACAATGAATTCAAAGTCGTCACGATTCTTATCCCCAGTTTCCACGGTCTCCGCTAGGAACGCCTGGGAGCATCAAGTCCCAGTTGGTGCCCACACATAAAGAAAAATAAAAAAGAAAGGCCTGCATTTTTAGAGTCTTGCCCTGCTAAAGTAAAATCGACAAATAAAATGTCTATAATTTGTAAATTTATAGACTAATAAAACGTCTATAATTTGTAAATTTATAGACTAATAAAATGTCTATAATCTGTAAATTTATAGACTTTTTATAAAGGTGCAATCTTCCCCTCTTTGCGTGCGTCGCTCAAAAACGCGACCTTTGCTTAAACTCCCTAATATCTGGGAAAATACTTCCCGAGCATTACTGGCCACAAGCCGTTCTGATTAATAAATCATTGTATCAGGTGGGACGCCATACCCTACCATAGAAAGCAAAGAATTGTTTCGACTGCTGAAGAATGGGTACAGAATGGAAAAACCAGAAACTTGCAACGAGGAGCTGTAAGTAGTGGCATTGGCCGTTTTTATACTAGAGGACGCACTATTCGTCCAGACGGATAATGCGTCTGTGGCCGTTTTTATACTAAGGACGCATTATCCGACCAGACGAACTTGGGCAAACATTTGTAGTTCATCTAGTTATGCGTCTCAAGTATAAAGACGGGCACAAGACGCATTATACGTCTGGACAAACTTTCCTTCGAAATACGTCTTGAACGACGCACTACGAAAGGTAGTTCGTCTGGACGCATAATGCGTCTTGTGCCCGTCTTTATACTAGAGACGCATAACCAGACGAACTACAAAATGTTTGCCCAAGTTCGTCCAGACGGATAATGCGTCCTTAGTATAAAAACAGCCATTGATGATGAAGATATCGAACTTAAATAACCATTCAGTTACCAACAGCTACTAGCTGATTCGCCCTTTAATCGGTGAATTTCTCTTATTCTTTTTCTTTTTTCAGCTACAAAATGATGCAGGACTGTTGGCAGAATAACCCTGAAAATCGTCCCACTTTCACTCAGATTCGGGAGAGCCTGGAAACCATAATGCAGAAGGAAAATCCATATCTGGACCTGACTGCTGTGGACGAATCGCACGCCGAATACAACGTGCAGTCTTGTGACAGTATGGCGGAGGAGTCCGACGATGATCAAAGAGACGACAATGTTAAAGCAGTGTGCCACGAAGGTATGTAACATCGATTAAATTTCCATTCGCTGGAACCGATTTAATACACATTGATTTTAATCTAATTGTATATTCCTTCTTTTCAGAGGCAGGTGGAGACCTAAAGGAGAACATTACGAAAAATGATCCACAGTCCAGTAATCTGTCAGTGGATATCAACTCCAAAACAAAGACTGAGCTGACAACAGAGAGTAATAATTGTGCAAAGAACCACCAAGGTCCTAAAAGCTACGTGCTTAATTTGAATACACTGGAAACGCGTTTCTGAGAATCCGCTTCACGAGGATAAGCCCTGACTGGTCCTGATTGCTCAAAAGTTGAATAGTAGTATTGATCCACTGGATAAACCACCAATCACTGGTTAAGTGTTACGAAACCATTCCCGGACGTTATCCAGGTAGTTATTCATCTAGTGGACATGGCTATCCACTGTTGAAGACCTACGGCCTGTTTGGGGACTCGTCCCATGAAAGGTTATGCGGATTTCGAAATGTGGAAAATTTTTGCTTTTGGAATCCGAAATCCTGAGCCCAGTAAGTCAAAAGCCAATTCATTGCTAAACTAGGGTTAAGTTTTAATCCGGTTTCTTTTTCCCTTGTTCAAAGCACTTTTTCGGTTAATTTTCTGCATTCTTTTTAGAGGATCCAATAATCAAATTGCAGACAATGCAACCCGGCTCTGGGCTTTGGAATCCGTACAATGTAATTTCGCTCTAGGAATTCGGAAGCCCAACAACGATTGGAATCCTGATCCCAAGTTCCACTGACAAGGAATCTGGAATCCCGTACTTGGAATCCACAATCCACGGACTGTCTTGAATTACCTTAAATGGGGCGAAGGGGCTAAAACAACAGCGCAATATAAAGGATATAGTTCTAACAAAAATACTTAAAATTGCACGGATTAAAATAAAGCATTTTCAAGACTGATTATAGCCTTGATTGGGTTTATGTAGTTTATTCTAGGTGACGTCTATGAGTGACGTGTTAAGAGACCCTTAATTAAAAAATTACAAAACTGCATGGATATGACAAATGCCTGGCGGTCCCAGCCAGATACATTGCCGATTATGAAAGGCAAACATTTAAATTTAAGTTACGATATTAGTAAACTTGAAAGTGGAACTCGGAGTTGATATCAACTTCAGGTTCCTAGAGAAAATGTACACTCTACAAACATAAACTCTTATGTCAGTGACATTTCAAATAAAGTTAGTAGTAATTGACAGCTATTCGAGGCAAGTCACTACTCTCATTGTCCCTTGAGGTAAAAAAGCACGTTTTGTTACTTTGTATGCACTTTTCCGTTAGAAAGATCAGAGGGTTTTTAAAAGACAAACACTAAAGTCAAGCGGCCTTTTGCGGTTTTGGAAGACTGAACATGGACTTCCCTTCGTAAGCTTTCTCTGACTCCAGGGTGCCCCTGAACCAACCATTCTCATTTTTCTTGGCCCATTCAACTTCCAGCCAGACACCCATGCTCTTGCTTTTGCTGCAACATTTCCGTAACTTGACCTTGCACTTCTCCTTCTTGCCGAGCAGGAGATGATAATAAGCGAGCAAGTGGAGTCGCCGACCTTCAAACACCGGATGATGATTAAGTGAGCCTTTAAGTTTCTTCAGAACCTGGAATCAACAAAGTTAGCTTTATAAAACTCTGGAAGACCGGCATACTGTATGTGAGCTTCCTTTAAACCTGTTTATAGCGGTCGTATGAAAACTAAACCAAGTTGAACTAAGTTTTTCAACGGGATTGACTCCACAGAGTGACTTATCATAAGTAGGTTGAGTATGATCGTCCGGGTGAAAGTAGTCCTAAATAGGAGAGGGACTGACGTTTCGGAAACCTGTGTGGTAGTCATCTTCAGAGTCAAATTGAGTTAGTCACTTGATGATACAAAACTGTGGTTATTGATCTGCTTAGTCAATTAAGTCGCCATGTTTGTCACAGTTAAACAGTCGTTTATTGTTAGTCGAATTGTCGGTTGTCCAGTTATTCTCTCGTAATTAGTTTTGCTTGACGATTCAGTCGCGTTTGTTCTAAGTTAGTAAACGAACTTTCTAAAGTGAGTCAGAATACGTAATACATATCGCAGAGTCACAATTGATTTGATGTTTCGTCCGTAAATGGTGTTCAGCAAAGTGATTGTTGTCTTCACCATTTCTTGTTGTTTGTTTGTGTTCGGTCGGTCGCGTGCTAAGATTTCTGCCGGTTTCAACCAATGTAAGTGGCCTGGCAATCGCAGCATTTGATCGTGTATACTGCTCCCTGTCTGTCCTCCAGTTTGTCTTTGTCTTTGACAGTAGTAAAGTAGTTGAACTTGTCGTAAAGTGGTTATAAGTTTGTGTGCAACACGTATGTTGTAAGGTTATTATGTAGTATAGGTGCGATACTTTCAGAGGTGCCTCTGATGTATGGTATAGTCGCTGTCGTAACAGGGCCAGAGTTGACGTGGGTCTGAGTGTTGGAATCAGTGTTACTGTGAGTGTTTCGTCTAACAAAGTCCTCGCTGTAGTTGTTTTAGTAAAACCGTTGTTTAGGTAGTCAGTCTTGTCTTTTAGGCTGTCAGGTGAGTCGCAAACTCATTGCGCGCGTCCTCGTCAAAGTCCGTATAGTTGTAGCCTTGAGAGAGGTCGGGTTGTACGATGACATACGATCTAGTGAATCTGTCGGTATGTGTCGCTTTTCTGTAAATTGTCCCTCCTAGCCGTATTATTTTGTTGTCGCGAGTGAACAAGCAGTCTAGAACAGGTATTTTACAATTTTCCTTGATCTTCGTGCCAAACTGCATGTCCGCGTGATGTTTGTTAAGGTGTTCGTAAAAATCGTATATTTTGTCTTTGCGTGTACGGCGGTGAAAGTGTCGTCATCGTAGCGTAACCAAAGAGGTATAGTTCGCGTATAAGTAGCAACTAGGGCTTGTTCCTCGGTGTTTTGCATTAAAATTTCTGCTAAAACATGGCTGCTCCCTGGTAGCTGTTTGTAGTGTTTGCCGTTGTACTGAAAGTACGTCAAAGTTAGGCAGAAGTTGAGTACGTCCATGATGTCGTCTGTAGGTAGTGGTAGTTCAACAGTAGTAGCGTTGTCAATGTAATCTGTAGCCAGTTGAAGTGGAATACTGGTGAACATTGATTTCACATCAGAAGACACTAGTTTGTGCTCGTCAGGTATCTGTTTTGTCTTGATGGCGTCAATAAAGTTCTCAGTCGACTGTGGTTTATGTCCAGATTTGTCAATCAAAGGTTTCAGCAAGTTAATAAAGTATTTTGACAGTTGGTAAGTCGATGACCCTTGGAAGGGTTAAACAGGCTTCTGTCTCGTTCGTTGCTGACTATATCTTAAATCCGTTGGTGAGGCAATTAGGAACAAAGATGTTGTGTTCTTTTTTTTCGATGATACCCAGTTAATTCACCCATAAAGTTATTCCCGGCAGATAATTTAGAAAAACTGGCCTAATATCGATTATCTTTAGGTTGCATATCAAAAAATTCATTTGATGAACTCACCTTAGTAGCCTCGTGCTCATAATGTCTATTTTTGCCATTATGGCGTTGCTTCAACAGCCAAAACTCCACGATCTTCACAAACCCGTGAACAGCCATAAAGACTTCTAACTTTGATGGCTCTAGAGCTAGTAAGAGAAGCAACTTATCATATTAGAGATCCAACGGTCATTGGCTTTAAATATAGTTTCCTGCAATAAAAAGAAATTACTTCCCAATCGGGTGATATTGCCTCCGGTTGAATGTTTACTGAGCCATAAACAGTGTACTTGACAAAACTCTTAACATTTACCTTAAGTTACCTAATAAGCCCTGTGATCATAAAAAATATAATAAGCTTAATTTATTAAAAATGCAAACTAGGGAAATATCAAAAGCCACAAAAATCGCCTCTGTTTAATAATAATCCAGATGACACGGATCTGTGATTCTACACTATTCAGGTTTATTCCAAGCTGTCGTCAGCACCAGCCAGTTTTGCAAAGTACGCAAGTGAAAAGAAGTCTTTGGAAAGACTTGTGGAAACATTTTTGTCCTAAAATATGATTCTAAAAGTTTATCAAAGGGCAATGTAACAAGATTGGACGCGTCGAATTAAAGATTTTTTTAGCCAGCATACCAGTAGCAGTAGCAAAGTATGTATCGGCATTTCCCCAGTCCTCTCTCCTGGCGTGCCTAAACCCGAAAAAAGTCAAGGAAAATTTTAATTTTTAAGGTGTGCATAACACTATCAAGAAATTGTAAAACTGAAATACGCATGTTTTTTTTTTCCTTTTCTTAGGGAGAATAATAAGGACAACAAAATTTGAAGAACCTGTTAAAAAATGAAACACTTCTTTTTAATCGTCCTTAAAAAAAATAAAGCACAGATAGAAGAACCCATGTACGCCGCTTATCTGCATTTCGGATACTGATATAGTCTCTTAACTTAAATGAACAAGCAATTCTTTTTTCTCAGTTTGTTTAATCATTCATAAGATAGACCCTTAACCGCCAGTGTGAAACCACCATCCTTGTATCATATGTAACGTCATCATTTATAACGCTCCCAGTAGTTAGTGAAGGCAATTACCAAATATAGGCAATGCCATCAATATGCCAGTCAAACGCACCACAACGTCACGGTGTAAATTACACTAGTAAATTCGAATTATTAACGATTTTTTGTTATTTCCATGTGTCCTCAAACTTGCGTATAGACGGCTCATATTTTATTCGATTCCTTTACTTTTTTCATCCCTTTTTACCGTACGATCTAGGTAAAATGGGAATATTAGATCGACTCTATAGGACGTGGGGTTATTTCAGGTTACTTCAGTGGTCAGGGTTCGAATTCCGATCAAGTCTACCTTTTTAATGTCATGAATTAAAAGAATATAACTTTAGAGGAGTACAAGGTGATAACAAGTAACAAATTAAATTTTAATCTTACCAAAGTGCAAGTGAAGCATTTAGGTAGAACTTTGGGACTAGATCAGAAGCGAATGCTGGATCCGTAGACATCTTTGCTGTGAACTGAATAATTTGACTAATATCTTCCAGCTGCCAACCTGAAAGAAATGGAAAACATTTATCGTTTTACCAAGCTTAACACTATCTTATTTCTTAAAATTTATACCAGTTAGGTTCCATTCGACACTGCTGATCCAAGCTGCATAGAGGGCGCTTATAATATCAAACATGTCCTAAGCCATAAGCGGACTCATAAGCTTCTCTGTAACCACTCATGCTCAGAAGGCTTGAATGATGTCATCGATTAGAATCCCGCCAAGAATAGCATTTTTTCTTCCTCGTGAAAGGGAGAGGACCATGGAGATAATGGATTTTGATATGCCCTCTTGACATTATAACTTCCTATTTCACACAGATGGGCTGCAGTTTTATATTGGGCGAACGTGGGGTAATTTAGAGGGTTTGTATGAGAAAATTGTAGAATCCAATCACTTTTGCGAAATTGGACCCTGTAAATGAAGGTTATAGATTAGCTGAATAACTACGGAGACCTCTATGATAAACTCACCTACGTATTAAAAATCTTCATACATCAGTTTTGTACATGTGGATATTTACCGGGTGAACCATAGGTGTTTAGGTTTACTGCTTTACTGACGTCTCATTTACTTACAAACCAATCTCGAGACCACAATACGTGTTTTAGAGGAGAGGAGCTAGAATTCATTCTAATTTTTGTAACAATATAACTTAACCTGCTTCAAGAATGAGATCAAAGCAACAGCACATGTAAAGCGCACGACCGTGAGAGTCACTGGACTCTAATGCAGCGGAGTTCAGTTCCTTGAGGACTTCAATACACTCAGGAATCCTGAGAATTAAAACAAAAAAATTAAATTAGTGCATGACAGTACACATTTGGAAGTAAATTTTTAGAAATAGATAAAATGTGCATTCCGATTATCAGTAAAATGGCTTGTTCCCCGACAGGCCAGACGTTGAACAGATATATGTGATATAACTAGGGCAAAGTTATCACTTTATTGCTGTTGAATGAATGGAAACAGTCTCAACTTAATTCATCTTCACTGTGTTGTTTTGACCTAATTGTTTATCACAGTTACGTTTTGCAGTTTCATGAAATAAAAGTGATTTTTTTCCATCTGGCTTAACATTTCATCAGTCTTTTATTACTGGATTTCACTTACTTTGCAGTGGCTAGAAGACTTTGAGCAAGAAGAGGGATGCAAGTTGTCTTCATGTGTGAGTCGTGAACTTGATTTGCAATACCGAGAGCATAACGACCTGTCATAAAAAAGAAAAGCATCTTGAATGATGAATATCGCTCCGGGACCCTGCCTGAACGATCTAGCTAAAGAAAACAAACAAGATTAGATTCTAATGCGATTAAGCAAAATTTATTTGGTTTAATTTCTTTTTTTTTATGAAATCGAAGTTACCTACGACTAGGCACAAATGATGACCGGAAGCGGAACCTCCACAAGAAATGCTGCTAATAAAGGCTGGAAAAATTATTCATGGTCAGGGCCACATGTCTCCACGGTGAAAACTCCTACCTCAAGTGAAGAGAGCTAAAATTGAACATTTCACAAATCAACTACACTCCTGTCACCTGCTAAATGACATGCAATTTTGTAGTGGGCGTTTCTGTCGATGTACATCAGATTCACCTTTAAGATCAATGTGATTAACATAAGATCCTCTCTGTTTCGAAAATTGTATTTTATATTTATCTTTAAATTACTTATCAGACCTTTCGACTTTCATGGGAGGAGTTTCAGATAATTTTCCAGGAGGTCACCTTGTAGGTCTACACTACATGCTCCAACAAAGATCTCGATAAAAGAAAGATAAAAGTAGGACCAAACCTGAGGCGATAGCGATTGAAACTCCGCCAATTGCTAGCCTGAAAGCGAGGCTGACACAGTAGAGATGCGCCACGGTTATCATGTCCTCTGGGTCTGAGTAAAGTGACGGGTCTTCGCACCTGAGGGTTGGGGAGAGTATGAAAATATGAATTTATCTGATTAGGGCTATCACAATCTATCTGGGTAAAGAGACGGGTCCTAGCACTCGAGTCTAAAGCTGAGGGGAGATAAATGAAGTTCGTGACTGAAGGTTTTCGTTGTGAGAGGTAATTGTTCTACTATTCATGTTAATACACAACCTTTCTGCTCCGCTATAACAACAACAACAATAATAATAGTAATAAATGCTTCATTATCCTCCATTTATGATGCTTTTCAGGGATAACTAAATAAATAACTTCAAATGGTAGATAACAAGGTTAAGAATCCCAACTGGTAGATGGCGAAGCAGTTAGAATTATAAGTCCAGCGCTCTAACCACTCGGCCACGCTGCCTCCTCAGGTTGAGAAGTTCTTGTATGGCAAAAAATTATTTACCTGTTCTTTCCTATTTCTTCGTACGTTTTCCCCCATCCTCTCCAGCCAACAAGATGTGTACACTCAATGACTCCTGCGTAAGCGCTTATTAACTGCAAAATACGATGAATATGAAGATGTTCAAAGTGGAACTAAGAAGCAAATCTGTAAGCGTGATTGTTAGTTTATGGGGTGTTTGAACAACTCGCGATTTTTCTGGCACTTCGGGGATTCAACTGAGTAGAACATGCCTTGTACCGAATGTAATAGGTAATGGTACGGAATAGTATATCCTTTAAACAAAGACCATACCGAGCATCCCCGGAAAATAAGACAGATCTTCAAGTGGAGAAAATGCCTGAAAAAGGAATAATTCAGGAGTCTGTCTCCCCATGGAGCTCTCTAGTTGTTTTTGTCAAGAGAAGGATGGATGCTTTAGATTTTGCGTTGATTTTTAAACCTACTTTATCATGTGGGTAGATTAATTTCAGTTGCCTTTAGCTAGAGATGCGCTAGATTCCTCAGCTGGTACAAGTATATTTTCGACGACTGATGTCAAAAGTGGTTTCTGGCATATAGAGGTGCATCCAAATTTACGAAAAAAGACTGCTTTTATTATTCGGAATGGTCTTTACTGTGACGTTTGGATTGACTATTTCAGAATCCGAAGGCTCATGAGTTATATTTTAACTAGAACGCCAAAGGGGGTTAAGCTCTTTTGGTATTATCGAGTGTTGTTGTCCCTCGTTTTTCAGCAACAACTGTCACCTCAACCAATCAACTAAAATCACCTGAAGGAAAACACTTCTAGGTGTCTCTTAATACAGAATCAAAATAATTTGTTCCAGCGTTGGTACTCTCGTTTTATTTACTCTCCTAGCAATTGCAGCCTTTGGCCATTAAAGGGTTATGACGTTTTTTATCTCTATGCCTGAACTGCCTGGGTGAACTGATCAGAATTCAAACAGTCAGCCTTCGGTTCTGGAAATATATTACTGAAACTGAGTCAATTTTTACTATCCTCCTGGCACCTCGAAAACCGTTTTAAAAGACTCCATCTACCGAACACACCTCATGCAGGTTTTCTTCGGCTTCTTCAGCAGCGTTGAGCTCCTGTAGGGCAGCCATCAGCGATCTGTTGTTCTGTTGCAGGGAATGGTACACGTGGCTAAGATGGCTCAGGCATCGCGATTGTTCAATCAGTCGAGCTGAGTTGTCCCTTGAAAAAGAAACAATTAACACCACATATATAAATGGACTAAAGGACTAAAACAGTGAGAGATAATGTAAGTGGAAAATTGCCACTGACTTCTAGGATCGATGCTATTTTTATCTCCTGTGTCCTATTTCACGTTAAAATGTTATAAGGGACCTTGAATGAACCGACATAAGGCATAAGAGCAAGGAAACAAGACCATGGCGTTCATGTGCTGCGACTTGTCCATATCTCGAACACTTTCAGATACAACAGTCCAGTGAAGGTAACTGTAAGGCCGTGAAGGTAACTGTAAGGCGTTTCAGTTTTAATACTGACGTGCGATATCACTTGGTGGAAAATGTAGTACAATCGGTTCATTTATCCAGATACTCAGTTCCATTTAAACAGTAAATCTGAAGAATATACCGCAGCCTACTTGTTCTTACGCTCAAGTAAGTAAGCCACAAAGTAATTTATTTATACACGTTACACCTAAGAGCTTACAATAAAACTCGTTCGAAAGTACATGTGATATATAAGACTACAGTAAAAACTTATTTAACTACATATAACTATTACATGAAAATATATTATCAGATAAAAAAAACTGTTTAAAAGAGCCAAAATTTATAAGAACATTCAGGAAAAGGTCACAAACTGTGAGAGAAAAGGTTAAAGTAGATTAAAAATAGTAACAATGCTAAAAATAAAGTAATTACATATGCAAGACAAACACTAGTATAAAGATCCCAATTTAAAATTTTGTTTGGTCTTTTTGAACACTTTAAGATTATTGGGGTTTCTAATATATAACGGTGGCTTATTCCACATATCGCTAGTTATAAATGAAAAGGACAGTTGACAGTTGAATACTTAATGATACGTACCCCGCCTCTCCAATGTAGTAACCTGGCAAAAACACGTGCAAGTAATGACGCAACGATTCTTTTAAGATCATCATGTAGCATCCGAAATCAGACCTTGGCTGATTCTTTCCCAAGATGCTTAGCCCTGAAAGTAGGTGAGCCAATGCTTCGTGGAGACGATTCATGTGAGCCAATGCCTTATATCAGAAAAAAGAGCATTTACAAGAAACACAGACTTGGCAAGAACTAAGCATTTTAAGAGAACCTTCAGAGATATTCATGCATGTCTGCTGGATTTATTATTTACAATATAATCTAGTCAAAGCCTCTTAATACGGACACTGGGGCCATATAAAGTGTCTGCATTAACGGGGTGTCGGAGAGAGGTGCGTCATGTTATTAAAGTGCCTTAAATACTAAAGTAATAAAACATGTTAGGAAATTATTGCTTCATTGTAACGGAAAAACTCATCACCTGATCTGAGAACTGAACTTTGCACGAGAGTCTTGGAACTATGTAGTCGTTCCGAGTCGTGGAACTGAGCGAGAGTGTAGATTGAGTGTAGCTAGATCATCGAAATTTTTACGCCAATTGATATCGACGAATTCTTTAAGTGTAGAACAGAGTACAGAATTCTAAATTATGAACATGTGAAGAAATAGACTTTCGAGGGAGTGTAGAATTAAATGCTAAATAGAACAAGTTGTATCACATAACTTGTGACAAAACACAAGTAAGGACACGAGCATCGTCAAATTAAACATCTCTTAACCTTCACAAAGCCGTCATTTCGCGGCTTGAATCCACGAAGACACTCAAAAGTCGCTCATCAAAACCGTTCTCTGCTGAACCGTTTGATATCAAAACTAGTCTGGAATTAAAGTCTAAAAATCATCCTATCCGGTGCACATTGGCGCTGGGAATATCGACACGCTGTGAAATGAACACTTTTATTACAAAAGGGAAAGGTCGATCACGCACACATTTTATAATGAAGCGTTTGCGTTAGCGAGGTTGGTTGTTGATCGATAGATTGGGCAAGAAACAAGTGTCTGTTGTCCGAATTAACGAGTGTTCGTATCAAGCGGGGGTTGAATTAGGAGAAAATGTAAGAGTGGTCTCCAAGGAAAGAGAAAACTGTCCTTAATAACGAGGTGTCCATAAAATGGGGTTGGACTGCATTTGTGTAAAATTCATCTTTGCTTAGACTGCTTGTTGTTGTTGTTGTTGTTGTTGAACTTCCACCTAAGCATTTAGTCAAAAACATGTCAAATGTTTAAGTAACGACGATTGATTCGGCCTCTTTTTATCTAGAATGTGAGAATAGGAACTCACTGAGCTAGTAATTTAGTTGCTAGACCATTAATTTGATCCCTGAGGACGTTTGAAAATAAATGATTTTACCATGATTAATTTGGGAATCAGATTGAATCTTTTCCCATATAATCAAGTCTAGAACCCACCTTATTAACAAATAAATGTATTTCGTATCATGATTTTGAATATATATCTTGTAAAATGTGTTGCGCTATACGTAGTAATGTTATGACAATGAAGTTACCGGATGAGATCGACAATGTGCCCATTCATCTGAAAGCTGTATAGTGGCACTAGTTAGCTAGCTATAGAAAAAATTGTTGTTGTTATTGTTCAGCTTCAAATCAGGGTATTATGGAAAGATACATGTATTTGCTCTGACCTGTCCAATAAGACTTTCAACTCGCGCACGTTCTTCTATAGTAGCCAAGAGTTGCTCTTCCTTTTTACTCGACTCCTCTATGATGGACTGAACCTCGTTCAGATATGAAAGTGCCCGCATGTTAGCGGAAGTGGCCAATGCTGCGGCGCCAGACTCGGTTAAATAGCGCACCGTCTTAAGTTTGTTTCCTGCTGCGCGCCAATGATCGACAAGTTGAGGGAAGACTGAGGCAAGCACCTCTGCACATTGACAGTTACTGAGGTCAAAGGTCAATTTTTGTTTTTCGCCAGGATCCCTTAGGTTAAGGTATTCTTCATGCTCATCAATATCTTCTTCCTCTTCTATTAAAGATGTAGATGGTGGTCTGGAGACATGATCGCCTGAAAAAACAATGCTTTAGGGATCAGCGATCGTGATGCGGAAACTCCGCAAGAAGGTCCTCCCATAATTTTGCTTAAAATCAGAAAAAATGAGAGTAGCAATTTCTGACACTTGAGAATAGATTTTTACAGAAAAAAGGGAGAGTCGTTTTCCTTATACTATATTTGCTACAGTGGAATGATGATAAATCTAAAAGTAACGTTTTAATTCAAAACCCTGCCTTTCTACGAGGTACGAAATAAAGAAGTCCAAATAATCAAAAATTCTACCTCTTTCAGACCAGTTCGACTTTTTTCGCATGGAAAACTTCCTCAGCTTTTTCTTTCCAGTCGCGTTATCCGTTTCATAAACTGATTCTTCCTCGTGGTGCCCAGTTTTACGACTGAAGCTCAATCTGCGGAGCCAGCTGAATCTACGGTCATCCACTGCTTGTCCAACAACTGCATTGTTGACGAACCCAAATGTATTGGCAAAAGCTCCTCCAATGCCTGTTTTAGCAGCAATTGCCGCTGTTTGCTTTACTACTGGAGATTGTCTTCTCTCTCTTTTCTTGAGAAACAAGAAATAAGATTGTGACTTAACTTCAAACAACCTGCTTGTCTATATACATTTATTAAAAAGTGAATCAACGGATAATGCAATTCTAGAGCTTTGATTGGCTTAGCCATCATGGTATATGAGCCATTATACCATGCTCTCCAAATATGGTAACTGTACGCGTCTGCTTAAAATTAAAAACAAGCAGAAAATTGGTTGTTTTTATAAATAAAGTTGGGAAGAATTATCAATCTTTTTTTGGCGTTTTTAGTAAAACAATTATTTCACTCGCGCTTTTTGGATATGAGATGATTATAGCCAACTCCTATCCAACGCGCAGTCGTGGAATAAGCGCGAGGTCAGGATGGCTGGATATTGGCCAAATTCTTTCTTTGCGTTTTTGTTGATTAAAAAAAAAGGCCAAAAAAGAGAGAGGCCTGTATCCAGCTATCTTAGCCAAGCAAGATTTGTCAATATATAAAGGATTGATTATATAGCCTAAAAGAGAACCTTTCCTTGCGGGACCAGCGCTGGAGATCCCGAGGGGGCAGGATGGGCCCATCTTGCCCGCTCAGGTAGCCAGTCAGAACACAGGATTACTTGATCTTGCCCGATCGCGGATTCACCAATATCATTATACTTTTCATTTAACCTTACTACAAAATAATCACATGGAAGAGAGGATTTTTTTTTCAAATGTTTGTTTCAGTAGTTATGCTCAGGGCAAATGAAAGGATTGATTAATATAACAGACCAAGCTTCAGACGGTAAATTGGAGTTGAAGGAAATTCCTTAGAATTGATTTACTTTCGCCAATTTCGCTGTACCCATAATTCACTGTTCAAAACCCCGAAAACTATATCATTCATTTATCACTTTTGCGCCCTTTGTATCTTTGTACTAGTTTCAAGTACCCTCGTGCGGCATGACATGCACATCTCACGGATAAATGTAGCCTCCCACGCAGGCGTTTTTAGGGGAGCTCGTTTTTCATCCCTCCACACAAACGCCCGCTCAGCCGGAAACAACATTCCTTTCCCATTGTTTTATTTGCGTGGTAAATGACCAATAAACAGTTGTGCAATAAAGTGTTGACAGGCTAAACGCGACTAAACCGTGACCCTACAGTTACCGTTTTCCTTCTTTTCTTTCCTTCGTTAAGGTTATGAAGTGCATGTAATATATCAAAGTACTCTACGTCACAAAGTAGTGGTCTACTTTGTGGCTCTTCTCTCAACTTTTATGCTGCGCGTCGCCTCATAAAAACTGCTTGAAGCTCCACAAAGTAGACCAGATGAAACACTGTGTCGAATGTTTGACATTTCTTCTCAAACAAAATCATTTTTGAAGGAGAAATTAAGGATGAAAAATGAGCAGTTTTTTATCTGATATCCAAATACTCATTAAACATTAATTTCCTTTGAATTTTCTTTATGAATTATTAATGAGTTTGAGAAGGAGTATTCTAAAATTTGCTTAAATCTTATTTTTGCTGCTCTGAATCTAACATTTATGCAGATCGAGTAATTATCAGATTACCTTGCGGTCAAGGTCAACTTTCCAGAATTTGGAAAGTACAACGTGATTGGCTAAGCTTGGGAAAGGAATGTTGCTTTCGGTTGAGCAGGCGTTTGTGGGGAGGGATGAAAAACGAGCTCCCCCAAAAACGCCTGCGTGGGAGGTTAGGTGAAACCATCACCGTATTTGGATCGAATTTTGTTGCGATAAACTGTTCATCGTACCTTCTTGATAAAGTTCGTGCTATAAGAGGTGGTCTCGACCAAGTTCAAGTGGCTATCGAAAAGGATCAGAAGGTAATTATAAGACATGGATCAGCGAAAATATGATAAATACGGGCATTCTCAACTTCCCTTATCACATTAAGCTGGCCTTGTAGTTTTCCAACTGTTGTTCTGTAATTTATGAGAATTTAGACTACTTTCTATTAAGGATTTTTGACCGAACTGACAGTAAGAGAACTATATAACCTGCTCCGCATTATTTATCTTTCTGGTATTCATTTTGATATGAGTGAATGCCTGGTCATTTGAAATGAGGAATAAAGTCTACAAACCTCCAATAAACTGCTTGTTCCTGCGATTTCGGCTGATCGCTCATGCGCACGTGAAGAAAATGCTCCCTGGCTTTGCACCTTCTCTCTCATTTCCATTGTTTTCCGTCGCTTGGTCATCTTGGATGAAAATTCTGCTGTGGATCTGCCAGATGTACCTGAAATGGTCTCTTATTAACTACTTCAAAATGTACTAACAAGCAACGCTAATCTTATTTAACATTATCTTTTCCGAGTTTTTTTTAATTTTTTTTACAGAATATTCAAACGTAAGCGAGATTTCCATCAATAGTCACGTTAACAGTTTACTTAAAAAACAGAGAAGAAAGAATAACCATTCATACAGTTAAAAGAAAATGAAGTTATATGCCATTGTCGCACTTACCGCTAGCCCTTTTCTGACCCTGGGAACCCTGTGCCTCGTGAGTATCAACTTGTTTAGCGACAAATCCACCTCCCCCACAAGATTTACACTTGTGAGCCTGCGACTCAAGAAACATTGCTGCTTTTTCGTGCAATTCTCTTCTCTGATCTTCAAGCCAGAGCGAATACGATGTCTCTTGGACGTACGTGTTTACAAATCTCAGATGTAAACAGTGCTTCTTTGGTCCACTTGGAGTCATAAGTCTGGATAAGTTTATTACTTTGGTCATCTCGTCCGCATAACAGCCACAGAAAACGGAACCATGGATTGAGCTCGCAACACTGTGGTGATGGTGATGATGATGGTGATGTGTGTGTTGGTGAGCTTGTACAGGATCATTGAAGTCGTAGAATCCATGATGGTTGTGAGCATTTTGATGTTGGGCTGCCAAACTGGCACACTCTACGATCGATTCCTTAGCAAGGTTGTAAAGCACCAAATCGAAAGTTCCTCGACAAGACCCAGGTAGAATTGCCTGAAGCACGTTTCTATGAAATTCAGTACCCAAAATACTGGCGCATTTTAAAGTCACTTGTTCTAAAGGCATCATTCTGTCGATGCGAGCCAGGACCATGTCTTTAACAGATTCTGGAACTACCACTTTGGAAATGTCAACACCTGGATTGATAATACACACTTTCTTGGTGTCCAAAGGCATTGAATTTTCTGATGCAGGCACGAAATTTGCAAGATCCAAATTGAACTTTGGTTTTTCTTGTGGTAATTCTTCTTCAGAGAAAAGGCTGATACGTCGAGAACCTCTACTGGAATCAATTTCTGAATCATTCATTTTCGTTTTACTTTCAAGGCCCTCCAAGTTAAAGTGGATGCTCTTAGTGGAACCAGTTGATTTCCGCCTTTCCTTTCGCCAGGTTGCAGAGGAGCCACCAGATTCTTGGTAACCACCACCAAAGAGACTCGGTGTAATTCCTCTGCTCACAGCGAGAGTCATTCGTCTGGGTTCTGCACTACCAGCTCGTAACTGACCACTTTCGCTATAAAACGGAGTCCTTGGGCGAGAGGGATCAGACAGCTCCTTGTGTTTTTTAAAAGCAAGGCTCGTTGTAGAAGCATCAAGTGATAGAAAATCGAAAGAAGATTCCTTTTTCGGGAAGGCTTGGTCCTCATCGACAATTTGAATAACCTCGCTCCCTAGCATGTCTTTGATGAGCTGTTCACACCATGAAGCTATACCGTGGCTTTTCAGCCGAATAATCTCGTCCAGTTCATTGGGAATGAACATGACGTCCATAAACTGACATGTCAGGTCACTCATAACGTGGGGCGACAGGCCTCCTATAGATCATACAAGATTACGTTTGTCAGATGTAACGATGGAACGAAATCGAAGTCGATTTGTGAAATGTTGATCACAAAGTATCAAATAAAGAAATATTAATAGCATTTACAACCAATGGAAAAGTACAGTACATTTTGCCCTGATTATCTTATAAGGTGTCCAGCATCTATGAAAATTTATTGGGAAAAAGAAGCGTTTACATAAGAAAAGTGTTGAACTCTCAAAGGATTGGTTTAAAACAACGATATGACCGCCGTTTCATTGTTGTGGAACTCCAATATAGCTGCCGTGACGTTATGTGAAAAGGCTCTCTTGAAGAAGCAATAACGTCCCCTAAGCATTCGGTACAATTCGACACAGACTCGTGGACAACTTCAATATGGACAGTCAATTAATGAGCTTAGGTTAATCCGTACGAGAGACAATTAACCTTATCTGACCTAATTTGATTTTCTTGGTCACGTCATGTTGAATCAGCCTGGTAGCTGCCTCGCAAGGTGGGTTTGAGGAAGAGAAAGGCCTGAGAGCTAATACCAAAATCGCGTGGGAGTCTTTGGACAAGTCTTCTAAAAAATCCCATGATTCCTGATCGATAAACTGCGCATTGTCCACAGCGAACAAGCACGGTTGTCTGACAGCGAACTGAAAAATATGTGGGTACAGATTCTTTTAATACAATGAAATCTATTACTAAATCAGTACCATTTTACAAATTGAGACGTCGAGAAAGAACCTTATAATTGAGAAAGAATCCTGAATCACTTACGAAAGATGCTTTACCAAGCTGTTATCAGCCTGAGTCTCGAGGCCAAGTGAATCAGAGGTTTCAGCATAGTTGCCATTAAAACAACGGAACAGTCATAGAATGGAACGCGAACACGATAGTGAAGTCAGTTTAGTTCGTAACGTGCTAGGTGTGGAAGTACGATGTAAGATGACGTACGCCCAAGGCGAGAACGGCAACAGAAGGGAAGGAAATAGAGTGAATGTATATTCTAAAACCTTGAGACACCTACCTGGTGAACAATGTCAAACAAAAGCATGTGGAAATGTTGAGTAATTTTATCTGAGTCCAAATGAGCAAAATCGGGATTCGGGAGTATCTGAAACGAAAATAAGTCCAAAAACATGCGGAACACTGCAGATAAAATATGACGTCCTGAGCAAATGAACTCGGAATGATATGCAAACAATGCCTATTCCCAAAGATATAACCCTCCCCGCCCTTCCTTTTGCATCTGTCCTAGTTTCAAGAGAGACAACAGTCCTTTTCTTCAAGTAAACCTCCTCCGAGGCTAATATCATTAAACCGCATTAAACACCACTTAACTACAGTGAGACCCAATGGAATTAGTTCTATTATATTACAAACACACCAAAGTAATGACAATGCTCAAACGTGTTAAGTACCACAAATCCAAAAAAATGTTCTGCATACTGTCTTTCTGGAATAAATATTCCCAACGCTGGTACGGCTGTACTTACATGTGTGCCAAGCAAGTCATTTAACAGAAACACCTTTTCTCGCAGTTTAAGGTCAGTGATATGCTCCAAGAGCGCATGTTCTTTCTCTGAAGCTGTTCGGCACGTATCCAGTAACAATAAATTGGTTATAAGAGTCTGAACTACATGATACGGCGTGTGCGCATGCGCCATGTCAGCCTCCACGTAATCTACCCTGAGGAAACAGAACGTGAGAATTTGACCCTATTTTCGTAGGTAACACGTATACGGTTACGTGGAAGTTTTTGGCTAATGGTGACTAACTGATTGACACTAACGAAGATTTGGATCGCGTAAATTAAGCTTGCATGACTCTCCTCAGATGGCGTGCTGCCCTCGTCTTTGTTAGGCAAATACAAAACATGCAGCCACCAAATATAACTAGCTGAAGGCTTGGTCACTCAGCTTTCCATATGTGTTAAAGTGGCTGTGTCATTTTATTTTCTCATAATACCACCTGCACGTCCTTATTAAAATTAAGATATAACTTGTGAATGGCAAGATCGCAGCTTTGTGTCAAGCAAATATACGTCCCAAGCATTATATCAAACGCCACAATCAACAAAAATTAACTTTGAAAAACTGTTAAGCTGACAAGCTTTCAAGAACGACAATTGCAATCCGTTTCAATCTTCTTAGAATTTGTCCATGATCCCGTGCCTCCTTTTGCTTTTTCTGAGTTATTCATACCTTCTTTCAACGTTTTTAGCGGTTATTTTTATGTTTCATTCAATTTGGTGGCAGTTCCCACTGTTTGAATTCAATTATTTTCGTGACACAGCTCATTCAAGAAAGCACAGCTTAAAATTTGAATGGAAATTTCGACTGTTGTGTATTACTTGAATTCTTCATCCTCAGCGGTATCCATAAGTGCCTCCATAACTCTTGTTTTACCAATTCCTCCTTCTCCTTCAATCACCACAACTCGCCTGTTGCCACTCACACGAGTATTATCACACTTAATGGCATGAAGCAACTCCTTCATTTCATCAATTTCTTCTCCTCTTCCTAAAAAAAATCAAACATTTATACATTCCCTAACTTTTCCACAGAGAATGAATTTAAGACAGGTATAGACAAAAGCTGATTGCTCTCACCCTGCAATGTAAACAGAAGTGAACAATGGCAAACAAGTTCATAAAGGGTTCACAGGTGTAAGTTTCTGAACAATCGAAGATTACAAAAAATATTCCTAAGGTAATAAATGGTGAGACTATATTGTGTGACAATCTGCTCTAGTATCATAGCTTCATCAGAGGTACATCCCTTTGTACAAGAAAACTTATACACGTTCTCCTCTTGCGAGAAGGAAGAAAACGATGCCGATCGATGGCAAAACTTCGTCCAGTTTACAGCTCACCAAGGATAGGATACTCATATTCCTCCTCTTCCTCTTCGCGGCTGTGAAAAAACAGAGAACGTGTTCAAAGAAACGAGGAGCGGGATGAAACTTGTTCAAACCCCGGCAGGGCCGGACCAACCCCTCGGGGTTTTAAAATAACTGAGGCGAAAGTTATGCCTTTGTAAAAAGACGATTAGACTTTCTAGACGTCTCGTATAAGGAAGATACAGTGCAAACCGTAGGCCTCGTCTCACAACTCTTTACATATAAACTCTGTGGTATGTTAAAGGACCCACTCACTGTTTGCAAAGAGTAGGAAACGTAGACCCTGGTGTGGTGGGCTATCTCGCATGGAGGGAGGGACTACTAAGGCCCCGCAGAAATTGGCGCCACGCCCGATTGCTGTGACCCTGCCAGTAGTTGGCGAACCTAATTTTTAAGTAAATAAATAATTGGTTTTATTCAAACAACTCATGAGGTATAATCACTGTATTCAGTCTAATCCTCCAAGAATGGCACTATGGGAATCGGTACTATTTTTTCGCCTTAAGAGAGCTGTCCTGCTCAGAGAGAGACAAAGAAGTTAAAAGTCAGGGAGTTATGACTTATTCCGGAATATGGTCAATCGAATGCACCCTTAGCCTTTCTTAGTGAGCTATGTCAAGCTATTTTCCATCTTTTTAAACAGCTAGAACTTGTCTTGGCATCAAGAGAATTTTCATAATAATGGCCCAGTTTTGTTATTTAAGACTATATTTAGCCATTGAAAGTGTTTCCTGTCGTCTGGTGCAGCGGATTGTTGGGATGGAAATGAATTTAAACTTGAGGAAGCTGGGCCAACTTTTTCAAGTTTCAATGCTATGTGTGTTCATGACTCTACAGGGGCATTTCGTGTAAGGGGTAAACTCACTAACTAAGCAAAGAATTGACCTCAAATTTCGGAGTGCGGTCAGAAAAACGCGCCATAAATATATTACGGAATAGCAATAATGATAATAATAAACACATAATGACTGGGACAAAATTAACCGTTTCCAGGACCATTCATTAAGTGATTTGTTATATAGCTGGAAATTCATTAAACCTCGCTGTAACGGCAGTCGTCGGTCAACATTCGCGGGTAAGAGTCGGGTAACGGTGCACTGTTACCCTCTGACGTCATAGATTTTGCAATGTTGCCTGCTCAAAGATTTTGGCGGGAAACAGTTTTATTGTTAGATGTCATGTGATTTCGAAGAAAGCAATGAGAGCACGCGCTGTTGGGAAAAAATTTCTAGCTATATAAGAATCATAGTTATAGCATATTTCACTGGGGGATAAGATCCTTCAACAAAGCTGTTATGAATATAGTACTTACTCATGGTGTCTGTTATATTCTCTCACTGTTCCTGGTTCAGCGATACCTTTCAGTTTTACAAAGGGCAACGTGACGAAATCCTCCTTCTTCAACTTGGACTTGCCAGATCTGTAGGTGTCATCGTCACAAGACAGTACTTCTGGGTAATTCACCATGAGCCTGGCCGCCATGTTTACTTTCCGTCCAATAACTGTCAAAATATCGGGACAAAAATTACCGACTCTGCTCAACATCGACATGGAAAATAGACAAAGGTTCTCATAGCCCCCTTTCCACACACTACCAAACGAATTAACCTTATGTACTACACTGTCTATTATTGGATAATTGCTTATTCTTATTCTACTTTATTTATCCTGATTGCCGTGCTACTAATTCTATAAAATTCCTGGAAAGAGTGTTAAATTCTCGTAGGGGAACTTCAGAAACTTTAAAGGAATTCAGTGCTAATAATTTCCGAGAGTTTTTTTAAAAGGCCCGTATACCTTTCCAGGGTGTCTCAAGTAGTTTGGAGTTTTATGGAAATTTCATTTCAAAAGCGAATTACCAGAAATCATTTCGCAAAGGCACGGCCAGTTTGCTACCGCCTTGTGTTGTCCCTTGGGTGCGGTGACTACATATATATTACGTAATTTAAGGCATGGACCAGACAAACGATATCAGTGAGCGGTATATTCGTATATAGCTGTATATGAACTTGACTGTTACCTGTATACTCGTGTCGGTCTCGATGACCTACTACACCACAGAAGGCTCGGCCGGTTGTTACACCAATAGATTCGTTTCTAAAATTTAAAGTAATTAACAAGAATGTATTTACAAGTTAACACCTTTTTACGGTTTATTGAGTCAATGATGTGATTCAAGAGTTATGGCTCTTGTGTGATTTTAACAAGAATGTGTTTGCAAGAGTAAATACCTTTATTACGGTTTACTAAGTCAATGTGATTTTGACCTTTCGTTAAATCGCAGATCAGTTGCCTACAGAATCCATCGTGTTTGAGGCTGTTTTGGATTAGATTTTGTCTCAATGATAACTCTGGAGATGGAGAGGTTAAGTTTTCAATGGCTTTTTCTACCTGGCACTAAGAGCACATGTCACATTAAAAAAATCCTTATAGCATTGTGGCTCGCTTCGTACGTAGCTCAGTTGTTCGAAGAAGTCGTAAGATCATCTCACAGAAGTTCAAAGGTTTATTCCGGTCGAGGATTCAACCTTAATTGCTTCATGCTTCATTACAACACCGTGAATTCAGGATTATTATTATCAATTTGTCTTGATACTCACGTGATCTCCATGATCTGATGTAGTGCGTCCATTATCCGATGGCCAGCTTTTAGTGCTCGTGCAGGGTCGTCCTCGTGCTTATCCCCAGGTAAGCCAAATATAACAATAAAGGTGCAACCCTGTCAAGCAGTTGGAAAATATGGCAATTCAATTACTACCATGGTAATATTCTCCAAGTAGACATTAAAGCATTAGCCATGCCTCAAACATTAAGAACTTGCATGTGCCGTCACTGACTGCTTTTCAGTCTTCAGAAAAATGCTCGTAGCACCTGCGTCAGAAAATACGTGCAAATAACGAGATTTATGGATTTAAGTTTTGAAGTTGAATGTTATCCACTCAATAAGAACTGCAGTTTTCTGAGAGAGAAGATAGGCTTGCAAATTGTTTTGTACTTCAATTTTTGAGGTTCTAACAGCGATCTAGGACTCACTACAAGCTATTTAGTCATGCTTTAGCTACTGATTCGCTACTGATGCACTACAAAACTGTGTAATCAGGCAGCAGTTTAATATGGCAAACACGCCGCAAGGTCTCAGCTACGCCTTGCCACCAAACAGCAGAATTCTTGCCAAGGAACATTATAAACGGAGGCGCAGTTTAAACTACCGTATTTGGGGCAACCGATGCGCCGCAAAGTACGACAGTGATAAGAAGTATGCGAAAGGCCGTGACCTGCTGTGACGTCTGATCATGAGGAAGCTGATAATATAACCGTATACGTAAAATGCCCAGGAAAGAGCCAATCACCCTTCGTGCTGATATATATAGCATTTAGCCCGATGATCGCTTAGTGCGTGACAATCCGAGTTACAACTTTTCATGCTTTACATTTGTCATCCTCCGTATGAGTACCTGCGGAAGGTCGATTTCGTCGCACGTTTTCCATTAAATCGTCGTTTTTTGAGGAAAAACCGTCCATATCAAGAATTATTTTACGTGGTGACGTTAACAGCGAGCTCAGCGCAACCGAAACGACGACAGAAACGAGAAAATAAACAAGCAACAGCTTTAGTCAGCAAAACAAAAACTCTGAACGCTCGGCCCACTTTTTGGCAGATTTATTTGCCGTCATTGCCCGCCTACTGACGTGGTCAAACTTGATCGGAATGGCGATACAAACGTTGCTTTAGTCTCATGGTTGCTTCATCAATACCCGGGTCAGTAGCTATCGTCGCGGCTTCGATTTCGTCGGAAATAACCATTACAAAGACTTATTTGAATTGCGCCCTGCATGATTTATGCATTGAGCACTCCTATAAGGTAGGTAAAAAAAAACATTTATCTTGTGTTCATTAATATATATTATTATACTATTATAAAACTATACAAAGGCATTCCAAATCAGAAGGTAACGTATATTGAAGGACCAAGCTTAAATTTATTTATTTTCCTGCTAGTCATGAGCTTAAATCCTACTTAGCTAGCCTGGGAAAACAGATGTATTTCGGGCTGTCGCTTCTCTACATCCGATTCGCAGGCTACTACTTGGTCAAATCCTTAAAATTTCGTTAAATGGTGTTTGGATTCTGAGACGGCGATGGCTGGGGGAGCTGTAGAGACCCCATTTTAAGACCCCATTTTAAAACCCCATTTTTTTACCCGAAAAATAAAGACTTACTATGTGGGGGTGCCCTTAGCCTCCCCACTTTAAGTCGCTTGTCAGCTCCCCACTTGAAAAATATGTTCCGCCGTCCCTGGAATTGCATTGTTGCAAATATCGCACAAGCATATGATTGCACTTGTCGAGTGACATGTTATATACGAACGAAATGACATCATCTGAGAGGAGAAAGCTGCGTTAATCTTACTTTATTTGTTATAACTCGTACCTTATCAAAGGAGAAGACCTTGTTCAGATTACCTGCCATTGTAAATTACAAGAATCAATCAGGAAATGTCATAAGGGAAAACAATTGGGTAAATACTCATGATCTATAATGTCTAGAAAAGTTTAATTTGGATTCTTGATTACAGAACACTCAACTCACATTGACGTGATGGTTCACATAACAGAACTGGGACCTTAGTGTCAGGCAGCGAGATAAAAAAATATCGGTAGTCACTTCTAATTGCTTTATATATATACCACAATCCGGGTAATATCAGTGAAAGTGCGATGGGAGGACAGGGACTTTTCCCTTCATATCCGAGAAGAGTATAAGGTCCAGAGCCGTTTGAAGATGTGAAACAAAGGCAGAACCTTTAGTAGCGTCTTCATTCTATAGCTTAGAAGGAGGTCGGATCCCTCACTAACCCTGCTCGCTGAAACTTGTCCTGAGTAGATGGGTGGTGATAAACTGTTTGAAAACTGTTTGCTCTACACACTGAGGAAACCTTGTCTCAAATTATCAAATTAAAACCAAAAAAAGACCAAAGTAAGGAAACGTAGGAAGCTTTTAACTCCGGTTTACTATATTTATCTCTTATTCAACCACTGCCCAGTATCAAATGATTAGTAGCAAGTCGAAGAAAATATAGAATATTTCTATAGAGTTTCTAAAACAGTAAATAAAAGCTATCCATTGTAAAACAGTGCTTACCCAATCACTATACGTAAGTGCAAACCATAATCGGTGTCCTCTTCTTTTCTCACTAATCAGGGGCACCCAACGACAATTTTCGGGAAAATATCTGTTCGGAAGACGATTTGAAATCTAGAATCTTCGGAACATTTGTTGTAAAATTTCTTGCTTGCCTGCCTCTCCTAGGATTTTCGAACATCTAAAAAATGGATTTTTACCCTAAAAAGGTCACCTAGAATTTTCGGGAGCCTTTTTTCTGGCTGAAATTTTCGAAAAGGTAAGTTTTGATCCCTATAATTTTCGGATCACTAGACTTTCAGCTAGGAAATCCAAACAGATCAAAAATTTTTAGGGGATAAAAATATGCCTATATCTATCGTTTAAATACTAAAATACGTTTAACAATTCTATGTTTAAGTGGTTTTAACTATATTCTCGTTGGGTGCCCCTGACTAATTAAATAGGGCTTCCCAATTGTAAAATATTTCCATGGAGTTTCCAAAACAGTAAGCTTTTATAATCGCATCTCCATTTTCTTACTTTTTTTCCTACTTAGTTAGCTTCCGTCATTCGTAAACTAATTTCCCACCAAATATGCTTCGCTTCTTCTTTAAAAACGTTAACGTGCCGTTGTCTAAATATCTCCGTTGTAAACCTTACCTCTCAGTCTCCTGGCGCTTTCATGAATAACCTCAAAAGCCTTTTGTAAAGCCCAGGAATGAGAACTTCCTTTGGCGGGTAGCACCATATTTATAAATAACACAGAAACTTGACGCATTTCTGACAACCATTGTAGGTCCTGGTCATGGTCGATCTACAATGCAGGATCATGAAACAGGGGTTATAGTCATCATTGGTACAGACGTAAGCAAAGGTTTTTGTCACCAAAACCTAGAGAGCGGTACGCGGATGTGGCGTACGCATGAGCAAGGGCCAGCACATTTGCTGGGGTGATAAAGTCGCCATAAGATATCAGTGCACAAGCATTTTAATTCATTTATTCCTTTGTTTTTGCCGCTACTTTCTCATTTACTCCAGCTTACAACTGAAATAACTGAAATCTGACGTTTAATTGAACATCTACTTTTATTTTCTTAGGGTATGGAAATAATACAAGACCCGAATCCTGCATGGCTAACAAGGCAGATAAATGGTTCAAATGCAGACCTTTGACAGAACCGGTTTGGAGACATAGGCACGAAGATCAGCAATATCCTGATCATTCAGTTTGCTGTAAATATCAGTTCGGTGATCTGAAAAAGAAGAAATTGTAAGCTCTATAACTGCATCCCCCGATTAAGACTGGGAAGCAGAGAAATCGGTGTGCCAAGAAAATTGAAGTAAGAAAATCAAATGTTATTAAAAGGATTTGTTTTCAAATCTTTCCATAACGAGCTTTCTCTTAATATGACTATGCATTTGAGTTTTTTTTTGTTTGTTTTTGTTTTTTGCAAAGTTCCTTGTCATTCATTATTACATGCATAAATATCGTTAAATCACACAGAGGCGCCAATATATCAGGAATTGCACTTTCTACTAGCAGTGGAAAGAGAGAGATTAAAACCTAAGAGAAATATGTTTGTTTTAAAAGTTACGCGCAAAATATAACTAACCTGGATCGTGAAAACTTTCACTTTTCAGCACCTTGCCGGTGACTTTACATTTCTGATCTTTCTGTTCTGCCTGACTCTTTTTGCTAAAAATTCTGGGAAGTTTTAACTGTGGATGATAGCGAGACATCAAAGTACCCACATGAGGGCCGAATATTCTCTTGGCCACTGATGGTGTTGATAACAAGACAGCGTTTGTGGAAAGTAAGCCAGACATAAGAGCTAACTGAACACCAGTTGGATTTACTGTGGTCATAGTGGAGGCCTCTTCCTCTAGTTTTGCACCAGCTACCTGGAAAGGAACAAGACAGACACTAAGTACGTACCGATCATGACGATGACGATGATAATAATGGTATATTGTTATATTTCTAGACTTTCACTCAACTAAACAGGGATTGCCATTGGTCGATTCTTGGTCACGTGGCCTTGACTAAAATCTAATGTATCCCGATCGTGATACATTAAGCAATGTACCCCGTTGGGGCTACATTACAGCACGTGATCAAAGCATGGTGGAAAGTGGCGTGACAAAACGCGGGAAAAACGCTCCCAGTTCTGCTAGTTTTCTTTTTCTTGAATGAACACAACACAAACACGAAGCCTTAAGCTACACAAACACGAAGCCTTAAGCTAAAAAGCAACGATTATTAAAGTGATCCAAGAATCGAAGTTCCCCGAAGAAAAACAGCAGCTAGTGGAGGAAAATGATGCAGATAATATAAGGAAGGTACTTTGTGAATCATTCATTCAGTGGTTTTGAGAATTAAATTTGTGTCGTTATAAGTACCGAGTCGACCGTTTTGGTTCGCTCCGGTTATTCTTTTGTTGCTGTTGAAGTGAAAGTCTAGAAATCATGTAACAAAACACTTAATGCCAGGTCCCTCAGGAAACCAGTTAGTTTTTGTTTTCCCGAAAGTCCTGAAGTTTCCCTCGACTTCGTCTCGGGAAACATCTGGACTCTCGGGAAAACAAAACTAACTGTTTCCCTCGGGATCTGACATTAAGTGTATAATATGAAATGATGATGGTGGTCCTGATGGTGATGATGATGATGATTTCAGTGATAAAGTTCGAATTTCCCCGGCAATGGATTTGATGCTAATGTTAATGAAGGTGACGCTTATGGTAATAGCAATAATGGTTGTGGTGATGGTGATTTTGAAGACTTAATATTGTCAGTGCTGATACTGGTTAATACGCTTAAAATATACATAAGCTTTTCTTAATGAGACTCCTCCATACTTAATAATTCATGCGCAAAAGACAAAAGGCTATGACGTCATCAGCGCCAATGTATTCCCCCTCAAATAAATACATGCGATTTTCCCTCAAAAGAGGCTTAAAACATCCCTTCTATACTACTGGTCGTGTTGATGCTAATTATGATAGCAATCTTATGGTGATAGTAACTGAATAAGGTTCATGTATACAATCTTACTCTTGCACCCGGGGGGAACTCATTTATGAAAGTAAGGGGGGATGCTCGTCGTCTTATTATGGGGTATCAATTGCAGATTTCAGTCTCAGGTACTGTTTTTAGGACGAAGAGACAATATTTTTACCAGTGCAGGTATCGCATAGTGTTGAGCGAAAAGAATACTGTGTCGACGACATATTGATAAGTCAACACCTGGCTCTTATTTTGTGTTCTTTTTGGGAGTAAAGTAAAGCCTTACCGGGCTTAGTAACCGGGTTTTGTTTCCGTTAGGTGTTAAATTTAAATTGCCGAAAAAAAAATCCCGGTCCCGTTCTTATGTAAGTCCTTCCACAGCTTCTTTGACTTAATTCAGCTTCATGTCCTTTCCTAACAACCAGCGTTTTCTTAAAAACTGGCCATCACGAGTTTATCAGCGTACAGTCAGTGCACTGGTAACACTAAAAGACGTTCCAAGCAAACAAGGAACTGAAATGAATCACATTCTAAACTGGGGGTAAAGATTTGAAAGTGAACATGATCATCACAATAGAGTGAAAAACCTAAGCTGTTGCAAAAGAACCAAAAAAAATTCATTCTTGACCGGGAATAGAACCCTAACCTTTGCGACGACCGGACACAACGCTCTATCCATTGAGCTAATCAAGCCAACTGGAGAGCAAGCCATTGTGAGTTCATAACATACCCAATGGTCAAAATGACACGAATGGAAACATATGAAATGACTCATATTTTGAACTGTACCATCATACGAAGGTAACTTACCCTGTAGTGAAATCCATCATCCATGATCTCAAATAAGAACAAAGACTGGTCGCAATTCAAATAAGCTAAACGTGATAAAATTATCGACCCAGGTTCCGCCCACTTCTCCGCTGCGTTAACGTCATCAACTGCTGACCCTGATAAATCGAAATGTTTGCTTTCCGCTACTCCCACATGAGTGATTTGCATTTTACCGACCGATAAAGCGATTTTAACCCCGAGCACAACCCCTACATCAGTCATGTAGTTATCACATTCTTCTTGAATGTCTATGCTACAAATGATAGCTTTGTTAATAAGAAGCGTCATGTCCAGTGCACTATCTTCAGACTTCCACAAAGCGAGTAGGGCATCACCTAGAACAAAGATAAATTAACTTCTATGTAAGCTTTCATAGGAGTTTTCAAATATCTTCTCTTGTTAAAATTACAGTCGTACACTAATACTACATGCATTGCATATCTTAAGTTTGTACTTTATTCCCATTGAGAGTTGAATGTCAAGAGCGCCGCTCTATAGCTTTCATTTGAATGTTCAGAAATGCACTTTATAAATTAAAACCTAAATGTAAGAAATTGTATACAAAGGATACTACATTGCAGCGTGGAAATGCGAAATTTCTTTCCGAGGCTAGTGTTAATTGAATCGCTTTTAAAACTCAGGTAGCAGCATACGAAAGCTAACTGCTAATAGGTTTTGGTTTACATTTTGTAGCTAGTCCCTGACAGTTTCCTCGCGGCAAATTAAAAAGAAAACAAGTTGCTATAACATACTACCCTGCGAACAGAGTTTCCTTCGATCTTCCTAGATAAGTCGCTTCCTCTTTCCCGACTCATCTAGGAAAGATCGAAGAGACTCTGCTAGATAGCAGGATAATAAAATACTCGCTGTAATATTAAAACGAAACTGATACAGCGAACTTATATTTATGGCACTTCAAAGACAAAGAGCAGAAGACATAAAATCAAACGTGTATTTTCCTTTGATTGTGCCCAGAATCTTGGTTTGGACGCGCTTTGTAATTAAATGATGAATTTCTACATACCAGCAAATTTTAAGACATCTCCTCCATGCTTCAAGATATCTGAAAGAACGAAGCGTCCAAAAGAGTACTGCTGCTCTAATTTCTCCCCATGATACGTATTATTGAATACCATTTCAGACAGGTACATCATTATAACTATTAAAAAACTTTATCACTATGTTGTATACAATGTGAAAACTTTTGATCAAGCAGTTACTAACAAGCTCATCTGCAGAATGCGCTGGCCCTATAAAAAAACTCTAAGTTGTGCCACTTTTTAAATGTTTTTGTCTCTATAATACTTCTCTTCCATATATTAGGAGCTATTCCAGGCTAGTCTTTGATATGTATTTGAGATATGTAAGTGACTCATGTGAGTGATGTTATGACCAGTATAGGTCACATCGGGGACCATTTTTTATCACCTACCTTCCACTATCTTTCCTAAATAAGTGTTCAATGTGGTTGTAAGTTTGTCTGTGCCACAAGATTCCTCTGAAGCTTTCAAGGCGTATGTCTCGCACAGTGATGTGAAACCTGGAAAAATAAGTTAGGCTTGTGACTATTTCACTGTGTTACTGTTGGAGAATGTGAAAAACTGGTTATAAATTTGAATCAGTTCATTTGCCATTCGAGTGGCGCGGTTTACCACAAATTGATAAGGTTAAAAATTTTAGATGCAAATGGCCCTTTGACTCAAGCTATGCCGGACACCTCTTACCTGATATGTCAGCAAACATGCACACGCCCACCACGTGATTGACACGTGGCATAGACTTCTTATGGTCGCAGTTGATCACTATATCCGGGACATGTGTCAGTAGCTGACGTAAAGCAGTGGAATCCCCAGATTCTTGGTTACCATTAGATTGACCTGAAAGATGATTTTAAAAACACTTATTATACTGGTCAGTGACTTTATCGCCATGCAATGCGTCACTGCGAGATACAGGTTCTCAAAATACACGTGCCAACCATGTGATCATTGACGCCATTTTATCTGTAGCAATCCCCGGTAACAGCCTTGACACATGCAAGTAGCTATCATAGGTGTAATCCGCTAGAGTCCATAGACTAATCACGGACGGCATTCCAGTCAGCTGTAAATAGAGACCTTTAGTTTCGAGGACGCGAACGACTACAAGAACGATATTTGACTTCAAGTTTTTTCGAGTATTCCGCAGTCAAAAAATAGACATCCCACAAAGCTTCATCGTACTTTTTTTCACCAAGAAAGTTTGCACTGTTATTTCTATTTGAGGAGGTTAAGCCCTCCTGATCGCAAAATGATAAAACCTCTAACATTTGGTATCTTTTTTCCGCCACTACGATATTCTCTCTAAAACTCGTAGTAGAATGACGCCGACAGTCACGTTTCCAGCCAAAAAGACGCTGGTCCGCACGCGAGAACTGCTACTAAAGCGAAAATCTCGTATTCGTAGTCGTCCTAGTGAGTAGAATCTCTAATCTCACATGACGGCACGTTTCGGATCAGATCGCAGGCACACTGTTCCATAATTTGGGTACCACAAGAGAGAAAATGATCGGTAACCTAGGGTTAGTCTGGGTAATCCAGTCCTGACATTTAGGTTAATATATGGATCGCACTTAACGATCTAGTCAGTAAGTTTCAAACAGTCGTTTTGTTGTTGTCGTTCTTGTTACAACTGTGACAGTGTAAAAGAACAACAGTTACCTGCACGTTTTTGTGGTATAAGTACCTCCACTCGGTCTTTACCCATTTTAAATAGCTCAGTGGTGAGTTTGCCCTTCACCCAAGCAGCCGCACTTGCCACTCATCTGAAAGTGCAAAACTTGTAGTTTAAATTCTGGCCCAGTTGTTCAAACCTTGGATACTTTGAGCGCTCCATTGGATAAATCACTATCCAGCGAACAAGAATTAGGAAAACCAATGTTTTGGAAAGAGAGTTATCCAGTGAATAGCGTTATCCAGATATATCCACCTTTTGAACAAGCTCGTTTGATATTTGCGCTTATTAAACTGCCATCACAAACCGTTACCAATCAATGACGCAAGCGAAAACGGCCAGCGCGCGTCCTAAATGTATGTATATCCCCCCTGGTATTCAGAAATCAAGTTTTGTATACAAAACTGCAGCAAAATTGACGGTCCGCTAAAAAAAGTTAAATTACAGTTAAGTAAAAATGAGTGCAAAAGTCCAGGGGGCTTTGTTTCCTCTGATGTTTGCTACAAACCAGCCGTACACAGTTAATCAGCAAGCTGAAAGTGAATATAAAGACTTGCCGAGCAAAGACGCGAGGTTTCACACCAGACAGACTGGTATTTTTGGTTACTAAATACCGTCAAGAACTGAGTAATCCATCACTACTAGGTTTTACTATGGTGAGACATTTAAGCAATAGAAAACGTTTTGCATGTTTGCATAGCCTGATATTAACACGAGAGGGGTTGGGAGAATTCGAGACAGTTATGCAAACCCGAGACGAAGTCGAGGGTTTGCATAACAGTCGAGAATTCTCCCAACGCCTCGAGTGTTTATATCAGGATATGCAAACACAGGAAAAAAGTTTTCTATTGCTTTTATAAAATAACTTTCTCGAGAGAAAACGCAAAACTCTTTGTATGGCACTGATTAAAAGAGAAATTCTTACCAGTCGCAAAGTCTTGTCCACGAAGTTTTGCATGCGCAATCAGTTCTTGTTTTGCAAAAAGATGTTTTCCAAAATACGGACTTTTCTCACTTAAAATGTCGTTTTGAGCGAAAAAAAATCGACATACCTTCTTTGTCACGATTTTCCAAGTTTCAGCCGACGAAGGAATGGATAAATAAAGTAAACTTGTCGAGTTTTGAAGTCGAAATCTTTTTCAAATTCGTGCTTGCGTGATTAGCGCGCGAAAACGAAAACATTTTGACGCCACAACCATGTTTACATACTCTCATGCAAACAGTCCTCTCGGCCAATCAGAGCGCGCGTACTATCTTAGTTATTTTATAAAAGGTCATCATACAGTTGTCATAAATGTTTTGAGCTACTCTCCCTTAACCGATAAGTTTCTGATCATGATAAAACAGCATCTATAGATATTAGATGCTTGCCTTTCTTTTCTTGGTTTCATTACGCTGAATGTGCTGGAGAGAATTTTGCAAGTTGAAAGGGACTTTTAATAATGCCGTTACAGTGTTGACACACGCGCATAACCACGGATAAGTGGAATACAAAATTTAAAAGATTTTAGCACTTTTTGAAGCCGCAAGCAGCAATAGATCTCACCTGCATTCACTCGCAAACTGAAAGAATCTGCATTTTGTCTTTGCCCATTGCAAAGGATCTTCAATACGGTGATTTTTGAGAAGAGATGTAGAGACGGCCACATAAAGCACAAGATTGCGCGTTAGTTTTGAAAAAAGTGATGTCACAAACATCACAGGTGACGTACGCCAAGTTTGCCACCACGCGCAAACATGACCACGAAAGCGCGCGCATCCATAGGCTCAGTCCCCCACCCGAGTTTTGCGTGGACGTATCTCAGTTACAGTTGCCCCTGAGGTCTAATATTAAGTAGTTTTCTTTGTCCCCTTGTTGGAGTCATGATATCCGGATATACTGACCTACATGAATTCTTTGCAGCTGTAGGAAGCTCTGGTTCAATAGCGGCTACGAAGACGACGGCAGTGAAAACGTCTCACTGTTAAAACAACCACTAAAACAAACACCAACAAAATGACATGGTTCAAGGCCCCGGTTCATACAAATCCGGGATTGGAAAAAAAAATATCCAGATCCGTGTGGACATAGCATGAAGTGTGACATGCCAGTTGGCACGTCTGCTCGAGCCCTAACTTCTGCTCCCGCGAGACCTTCCGCCCTTCCGCTAATCACCAGCAGCGCCATTTTGAATTATCCACACAAAAAAAGCACTGCGGTTGCATGCTATTTGGAGCACGACTTAAAACCACTAAAACAAACAACAACAAAATGACATGGTTTAAGGCCCCGGTTCACACAAATCTGGACAGTTTTTTGCCAATCCTGGATTCGGGTGGACATTGCATGAAGCTTGACATGCCAGTTGGCACGTCTGCTCGTGCCCTAACTTCTGCTCCCGCGAGACCTTCCGCTGATCACTAGCAGCGCCATTTTGAATTATCCACACAAAAAAGAAAGAACTGCGGTTGCATGCTATTTGGAGCATGGCTTATAGGCTAGTTCCCGTGTTAAGAACATTTAGCAGAGCACCTCGAGTTTTTCTTCTACGGCAGAAACTTTATAGTAACTCTGTACTATTCTCAAGAGCAATGGTAGGTACTGTTTGATTTTAAAAACGAGAACGCGCCAAACTTAATAACTTTTGATCTTCCACGAAGTTATACGAAATTCAGCCTTTATAGCAGAACAATTTAAGGGTTAAAATTTTGGCGCCTCAAGATCTCTATCACTAAATATAAAGGTTTCAGTTATTTTTCTATTAAGCAGGTTATAATAGAGGGAGAGACCTCCACGTAACTAAGATTAATATAATTTTTTATAAGCTTACGTGGTTGTTGTCAACATGCGCTGTTCATTTTTTGAATATTAAAATTAGTTCAAGCTTAAGCTTATACTTTTTCTTTTTTATATAAGCTAATTTTATTAAAAGTTTAGAGTACTGTGATGCTATTGTTTCGTTTAAATATTTGGATAAGACCCACCAAATGATTCTATGTTGTCACTCTGCTTAAGACCCCACCCCCTTCTCTCCCCCAGATCAAATGTGGTACACTCACTACTGGGGGGTTTGCTGCCCTGTTCTTCAAATCCTGATCCAAAATTTGTTAAAGGTTCACAGTATTGGTCCCTGACACTAAACAGTATACTATCAACAAAAATCTCATAAACTCTAAAGTGAAATCTGTATCAAGTTGACCTCACATCATTAAAGAGATGGGTCACCACCAGGCCGGGTTGTTCAAAGCAGTGTTAAGATAATCTAGGGTTAGTGAAAAATTTGAATTCAGATATAAAATCTTATAGCCAAATTCGTTGTGTCGCGCTGCACCGTTTGCAAACTTCAAATGGGTTTTTCTGTTCTGTTAATCATTTGAGTGGGGGCGGAGTTAATGCTAATCACAATGCAAAGCACTCGCCTAGCTTGGTCTGCAAAAACAAAACGGAGAATGACTCTAGACTGCTCAAGAACAGCGAAGGAAATCGCAATGATGAGTGGACTTTTTGTTGCGGGCAAGAGACAAGAATAAGAATGATCAAAAAAATCTTTGAAGAAAACTAGTCGATTATTGCCCGAAAGCAAAGAACCTCAAAACACAGAAACAAACAAAGTGGATCGAAATGCACCAATCACAAGTAAAGATGTGTTTCCTAAGAGGTCCACTAAGATGATTGATGGAACAGAAAAACCCAAAATTCCTTGGAAGTTTGCAAAATGTGCAGCGATACAACGAATTTGGCTATAAAAAGCAAATTCAATTTAATTCTTTTGGTCTGCAATTTGGTGATTGGATGCTAAAAAGAATAGGAAAGAGTATCCGAGAAAATGCTTTTAAACAAAAGAAAAAGAATCCCCGATTGAAATTTAACCCTGGGATAGCATTAATCAGTCTTCAAACAACTAAGCCCAGTTGTTTAAAAAGTAGAGAACAGGAAAGCCTGAAAAAATTCATGCTGTGCGGGTATGGTAGAGGTCATAGTTCATATACTGAGCAAGCTTACATTCTATCAGGCGTTCTTTTTACAACTGTGTAAGTTTCATCTGTGGTAAAAAAAATACAATTTCTATAATAATTTATTGGTAAGTGACCTATGTAATGTCCCTACTGTACCACTAAAACCAATAGCGGGTCGGAGTATTTTCATATTCAAAGGCCAATTAAGAGAGGTTTCTAAAAGCTTTTTAGCTTAGAAACAA